AGTGTAGAAATTCATACAGTGGTTGGTTATGTAGGAGAAAAGATCGAGAAGTTGGAGGAAATTGGGCACCTCTGAAGTCAACCTGATTCTTTTCTTGATTTGTTGTGTAAAGCAGAGTGGATTGCTTGTATTGTGCATGTGCAGAATACAGGATGGTATTGCTGAGCTTCTTGCTCAGGAGACTTGTTTCTTAATGCCTTGAAATTCATGAGGGCCACCTAAGCACAGTATTGTAAGTAATCTTAAAATAAGGTAACTTCCAGCCAACTCACCTTTCTGTAAACTTGAGTTTCAGTCTTGAGAAGTCTGTGAGTAGCAAAGATCTCAGCACGATAGCAGTGGTTTTGTGAGTGCTGAGTTATCGTGCTATCAGTGAAAAGAGATCTTGCAGCACTGTTTTGCACGATGACCTCGATTCACCTTTTCTGGAACCAGCTGCCTTACTTTCCAAAAGGCTGTGCTGGGGACTCCAGGAAGGTGTGTGCCCTGCAGCACCACATAACTACTTCTCTCTCCAGTAGTTTCAGTGATCACCTGCAGCACAGTGGAAAAAACAAAAGTGTAAGTGTGTTGGAAACTTTCTGGACAGATGACTGAATTAGATATGTAGTTCAGGCAGGGAAGTAACTTCACATTTTGCATTCACTTTTTGCTGGTTATAAAGATTGTAAAATATGTTGCACCACATATTGGTTTTGCTCCCACACATATTTTTTTTTTTTTTAACCATTGCTTCAAAACCTTTTAATTTCCTATGAGAAGCTATTTGAAGAGTCATAGAATCATAGCGTGACCTGGGTTGCAAAGGACCACAATGCTCATCCAGTTCCAACCCCCCTGCTATGTGCAGGACCTCCAACCATCAGACCAGGCTGCCCAGAGCCACATCCAGTTGTTTCTCAGCAGTTCTTCCACACTACACACCTTCAGGGGAGCACTCGGTTAGAGCAGCCTAACCAAGGTCACGAACAGCCAGTCTGAGAGGTGGAGGCGTCCGAGGACATGTGGAACACAGTGAGTGGTGAGAGCTCAGGCTTGGGTTGCTGGGCCTCTCCAGTAATTGGGTTATGTGGGAGCCCTTGTCTGATTTGAAGCAGTGGGATGTGCCACTCCTAAACTTGCTGGCATGGAGGGAAGGCAGAACAGAATATAACAGCTTTCTTCTTTGCTTCTACACTGAGCTAAAACTTAAAGAGCTTGTGGCAGTGCCTATTCCTCCCCCTTCTGCTCTCGTACTTTGAAATGCACGAAGCAACTGAGTAAGCGAGATGTCCTTGGGATGTGTGGCTTCTGAGGAACTGAGAAGGTACAGCACAGCTTCTGTGGGCCTTGTTCTGCAGCATCCTTCATTCCCATCAACGTGTGCTGACTTCACATTAAGCATGAGAAACGGGCAATTGATGTAAGGCAGTATGTTCTTATGAAGTTAAAAATGTCCATTGTGCAAGGACTCGGGTTGAAAAGGAGGCCTTGTTTTTTTTCAGTGGGCTGAAAGCCACTTTGTGAACCTCTGAGTGAAGATATTTTGCTTCTTTTCTCAGCAAATAGGTGATGTGTGCCTGCTGACAGCTACGTTATCTGCAAGTCACGGTTGTAAATGACTGCATTCACTTCAGTGCACTCTGCCATTTGAAAGAAATAATGAAAGCTTTTGCTTAAAACTTGAACATGTATTTAAAAATGAGGTCACGCTTTCCTGGCGGTCGTGGTTGCTTGCTTTTTGCATTTGGGTGGGATAGCCTCAGAAACAGCTTCGTGATCTGCTGCCGTGCCGTGATCTGTTTCCTTTAATTATACATTTGCATGGAGAAAGATTGCAGCCTCCTCCTGTCTTGGTGCCATCCTCCCGCCCTCCGCAGTGGGAGTTGTGCGTATCGTGGCGTGTTGTTCAGCCGGGTGCGTTATTTATAACTCATGCATGAAATCAGCCATTCCAAACAGATAATTTCTGCCCCTGTAATAGAAAACAAGAAGCAAGCGTGCATCCAGTTCTCTCTCATGGGGTGAGGGTGTGACGCATCGCCGGTCACTGCGCTTACTAAACTCTCGCTGTGCCCTGACAGCGCAGGGCTGTGCCTGCTTGATGTTTCAGGCACTCAGGGCTCAATTAGGGCTGAAAATTTGTTTTCGGCTCCTGTAGGTGCAGATGCCTGCTTTCCTCAGCCTCTGTTGTGTCACTCTGTAAGCAGTTGGCTTTGACTGCATGGAGCTGAGTGCTGTAATTTCTTTGTAGCGCTGGCGCGTTATAAATGCATCCGTGCAGCATTTTCCAAATGCACTTAATTCCTGATGTCACCTTGTGAGCTGACAGCTGCTTTCCAGATGCCTGTGTTCTTTGGATACCTAATGCTATAAAGTTGTTGAGCATGTGTGTATAAAGGGAATGGAGGCCTGGCTTTGTTGAAGAGAACGGCACCGCAGCAAACACCGTGATAGGCGTTCCATCGCCATCCATTTGAGCCGCCTTTCCCCCGCTGTTGGTAGCTCTGTGTGGTCAGGTCAGTGGTGCTGAGGAGCTGACAGGCTGTACGAGCACAGGATGCGTTCTGCTGCCTTGCAGCAAGCAGCACAGGCTGCCTCAGCCTGCAGCACCCACACAACTGGGCTGCCTCGTGCGCTCACACACGCACAGCTGCCTGCCGGAAGATGACAGCATGCTGCTGGCTTTTGGACAAAGGAAAGTTAGCTACGCTCGTAACGCCTTCCATCTCTACGCTATGCTATGTAAATAGACGGGAACTCGCTCCAGTTTATTACGATCGTCTTTGCAGCACGTCCCTTGAAGCGGTGGGTGGGCCGGGCCCGAGTGCTGCAGCTCCGTGCTGGAGCGGTGCGGAGTTACACTCGGGATGGGGGTACGGTGCACGTCGTCACGAAGGAGCGCTCCTAGAGCAAACCAGACTAGGAAGTTGGGTAAGGTCGGGAGCTCCGGTGCTGTCGTTGGTTTTAGTGCAGGCTGTTTGCTCCGAAGCGGTAACGGGGGGGCTGGCAGCGGCCGGTAGTTCCGTTCCGGAGCCGCGCCGAGCCGCCCGGGGCGGGCCCCTTCCCGACACAGGCGGTGCCCGGCTCCGCCCCGCGCAGCTGCCCTCGGGAAGCGCTATTTAAATGTGCGGGCCGAGCGGGCGCGGGGCAGAGGAGCGGAGCGGAGCTGCGGGGCGCTGCCGGGATTGCCATGCGCCTGCCCGGGGCCCGCTCCGCTGCACGGCTCGCCGCCTGCACGGCCCGCCGCCGGCCTGCTGCTGCTTCTGTGTCTGCTGCTGCTCCGAGCGGTCGCTCTGTGGCTGGGAACGCTGTTAACAGCGGCCGGCCGTAGCAACCTACTTTTTACCGTTCTTATTTTTTTCCTTGCCCCTGCAGCAGGCTGGTTGCACACACGGGAGCTGCGGTCGGTCGGTAGGTTGGGGAGCAGCTCGGTGTGCAGTGTGCTGGGGTCGGTCGGTGTCCCTTACTTGATTCTGGGAGCTTTGTGTTGGCTTTCTTCAGCGAGAGGAGTTGGGGGTGCGGCTCGTGGCAGCGCTTAGGGCTGAAATCTCACACCGGGAGATCTTTTTCTGTTGAAATACGTTGTGCAAATATAGCATTGCGCCTGGCGGTTGCTGAGGTTGTTTCTAAATAGCATTGAATGAACGATGTAAAAATGCTGAAATAGAAACGGCAGTGAGTTCTGCTGTTCAGTATGCCCACTGCTTTCTATTTTTGGAGCTGCTGGGGGATTCTGCTCTGTACAGCCAGGCAGTTCCGTAAGGGTGAAACGTGAACAGCAAAGTAATCAACTGAGCGCCAACAGTACAGGAGCAGCACAGAGATAAAACTGGAGAGCTGCCCAGGCTCTTACCTCGCACAGCAGGGGCTGCCGTGCAGGGCAGGGCTTGGGGTTACATGAAGGCTGAGGGTACTGCTGGTGGCTTAGGAAGCCTGTTGTAGCTGGGGAGCAGTAAGAGAGGTCCCAGTAATTTGCAAGCTTGCTTTTCCTGGCAGACAAATGCACCGATTGCTTTAAACTTAAAAATAGGAGTGAGTAGTCCAACTGCTTTCTTTTTCCTGGCGGTCTTGGCAGTGCTGTTTCCCAGGGTAATGCAAAAGCCTCTTAGATGAACGTTCCAAAATAAGGAAGACTTGGTGAGAGACTTTCCAGAGTGATCCTTGGTAGTAAGAAATGATGGCCAGATCTTATCTGTTTTCTGAGATTTTGGTTTGAAATGAGAAGTGACTTTGCTTGGAATGCATTTACCATGAAGTAATCCCTAATGGGTTCCACTCCAAGCTCTGAGGTGACGGGCACGGAGGTGGGAGAGGGTTTAATTAAATGTAATCAAATATTGCTAGATTGCTGATTAAAAGGCACACAGCTTGCTGTTAAGTCACACAGGTGACTTAAGAGACATACCACTCGTTTATACGTGAGGAAAAAATTTAGTTTTCATCTTAGGGCTAATTGAATTTGTCTCTGGTGAGTAAGCATCAGCCTTAGTTTCTGTCCCTGCCCAGCCTGAGCTCTGCTTGGCGAGGTGGGAGGGGAGCGGTGTGTCACTGCAGGGTGACCGGGTGCAGTGTGCTGTGAGTCAGGAGCCGGGCGTGTGTGTGGGGGGAGCGGCCATTCCTGGGCAGTTCTCAGGTGTGCAAGTGAGGAGACGTGAAACTGAGCAACACAGAGCTCACTTTTGTGCAGCATGATGAGCTGAAGTGCTGTTTGTTATTAAGCATCGTCGCAGGAAGGAAAGAATCAGACCATCCCCCTTTCCTGCCCCCCCTCTGGGGACTGTGTGTGCGTGCCTGAGTGTCTCTGAGATTTCATGTGAGAAGACGATGAGTGTGTGTTTGGGATTAATTAGCCTGAGTTTAGCTGGTTTCATGCTTTACGTGCCTAGGGGCTACCCGCAGTCACAGAGAGGGGAGGAGTTTGCCGTTGCTGGCTTGAAATCCTCTCCAGGGGTGATCTTGTTCATGTCAACCATGAGCAATTAGAGAGATTAACTGTCTTGTTTTCCTTTCTGCCCTAGATTGATCCTGGTGAGGCTCTGGGACATTTGAAAGTGATTTGGAGAGCGAAGTCTGTGATGGACACCGAAGCAAAGCCGGCGTGTATTGCGCCGCAGACTCACTGCCCAGGAATGAAGCGCCCTCCTTCAGAGGACTTTCCTCCTCAGATAAGACTGTCTGAAAAGATTCCACCGGTGAAGCCTTGCTTCAAGAAGAAACAGCAAGTGCAGAAGAGACTGGACACACAAACTCTCCGGGCTTTGCGGCCAATCTTTACCAGTTTGCTGGGATCTGGGACCTTGGATAGAGTTTTTGTGCCTCGAGGACAAGGAGGGGATCATAGTGATTTGTGTGAACCTGCTGTGAAAAAGGCTCTGGAACTCGGTACTACTTGTCCCCAGCCAGAAAGTAATGTGACTGTGCTGGTTCCAACAGCTCCAGACATGCAGAGTCAATTGCTGGGAGCTCATCCTGTACCTGGGCATCCTGAGCAGGAGGTGCAGTCAGGAGAGCAAAGCTTCTCATCAGAAACTGCTCCTGGAACTGCTGCTGACACTAGTAATGAATCGTTCCAGGATCGCCCTTTGCACCCATCTTCTAGCGATGGTGCTGCATGTCCTTTGTTCCCAAGCAAGCTTCTGGAAAGCTACACAGCTGGCCTATTCCAAGAGAATAGCTGTCCAATGCAATACACTCTAAACTCAAGCAATAAATTCAGTGCTGGAATATTCCAGGATAAAAGTGAGGAAGCTTCACTCGATCTGGTATTTGAGCTCTTGAACCAGCTGCAATATCACACCCATCAGGAAGATGGAATAGAAATCTGTGTTGATTTTCTCCAGGGCGCTTGTGTTTATGGCAATGATTGTCCAAAACATCACACAGTGTTGCCCTATCATTGGCAGGTGAGAAGGACAGCAACCCAGAGTTGGCAGAGCGTGAGCAATGATTCCCAGGAGCATCTGGAAAGACTCTACTGCAACCCTGACAATGATAGGATCAAAGTGAAGTATCGGTAGGTGATGGATTAGGTTACTTATTTGCAAATCCAAGCAGTGGTGCAGAAATATGACAGAATGTAGGTTCTTTGTTCTGGTATTTTGTGTACAAGGGTTTTCCAAACCCTGTCCTGATGTTGCCTTAATATTTAAGAAGTTTGTCACAGACAGAAAATGATTTCATGCCTGCTAAAACTGATGTTTAGCAACTGGGAAGTGCAGAAGAAATAAGGAAACTTCGTTTTGGCAGAGGCTGTTGTGAACATTGTACTTGTTCTTTACATTCCTAGTTAGTCTCTTCTCTATATTAGAAGAAGTAGGGGTGTGAATGAGCCTTTGCAGTGATTGAAACAGGAGTGGTGCTGCAGTGCTTTCTGTCACAGTGACTCCAGGCCGTGCACTCTGAACAGTCTTCATGATGATGTGCTAAGTAACTGAACTTACATTGGTACTGCATGAAGTTTCTGTGGCAGGAGGATTGGAACTTGATGATCCTTGGGGTCCCTTCCAACCCAATCCGTTGTGTGATTCTTTGTGAGACTTCTGTGTGGCTGATAACATAGTGAGGTTTCAGCTGATTCAGTAAGAACCACATGAGGAGCACATCCAGAAATGCTGATCCAGTTAAGTGTTGTGATCCAGGAATGTTGAACTGTATTAGTTCTTGTTTCCTCTGCACATAGTACCGTTTTCTAATCTTGGGTATGGAGTAGATAACCAGGGAAACATAGAAGGTGCTTGCTATCGATTTAGACTCAATCCTGCACCCTGAGATCAAAACCAAAACTACTTAATCTTTTATAATACTTTTTTGAATAGTAGTAGGGAGTGCTGACATTTGCGAGTTCATCAGGTCTATGTTACGTGAGTTCAGGGTATGGACTTCTTTCTACTTTCTTTTTCTAGGGGAAATAACAGCACGCAGTTCTCACCCTCACCTCCCCCTGCTGCACTCTGTAAGCTCCGTGCAACTTATTCCAGCAGCAGTTGAAATTCAAAGTGATGCTTCCATTTCTTTGTAGCAGAAGTGTCAGATTTGTCTTTGCCATCCGTGTTCTTGTGGATTTGTTCTTGTTGCCTCTTCTTCCTTGCACTACCACAGGAGGATCCCTTCTTCCTCGGTGTGTTAGGGCAGGATTATTTGATTTGCATTTACTATGTAGAGATGTCCAGTTGGGTGTCAGAGACCCAGTGTAATGCACCAAGTGTCCGTGAGCCTTTACCTGACTGGATGTTGGGTTAGATACCACAATTCAGGCTCTGTCAACTAGCAAATTCATCCTGTTTGTCCTGGAAAAATATGCCCATCTAATTAAGCATAGAATAAGATCTTGTAACATCTAGCAGATAAAATTCACCATATTTTACAATGTATGCTTCCATTTTTTTCCAATTATTTTAAAAGGTTTCTGTAAACAGAAAATATCGAACAAAGGACTAAGATAAGCTCCTGCAAGCAGTTTAAATTTGAGCTTTGCACAGATGAGCAGAATTGTTGGTGTTTGTTTTTTTTTTGTTAGCCTGTTTTTTAGCATGTGTCCACAGAATCCATTGCTGTCCCCACGATCTGCCTGTTCTCAGTGTTGGAGTCCCCAGTGATTAATCTTAGAAGGAACAATGCTTCGTAATTGCTTAGTCATCGGATCGCAGCTTGTGAAGCTGGCTGAGCCATGCTGTCCTCCTTTACACTTTTTTTGCAGGTTTCCAGGCTGGTGAGTAGTTTGGCCTCTCGGTACACCGAGTTTCTGTCTGAACTGGTCAGGAAGAAACTCAGAGTTGTTGGCAGACACGTAACGTTCTGTTACCACGGATGAAGTCAGAGAAACAGCACGGTCTCGGGCATGGCGGGTGTGCTGGATCAGGGCACAGCTGCTGAGCTGCAGCCAGCCTGGGGTGTGCTGTGAGGCAGGGGCAGCTCCTTCCCGAGCAGAAGTGGCTCCTGCTCTTTCTTCTTCCTGTTCTCAGGAGACGTTGGGAACCTTGCTTAAGTCCGTGCTGTAACACCGTGTCCTGCTGCAACACAGGAACATTGTTGCAAACTTAAAATATCCTCTCGTGGAATGATAAATAGACCAGTTCTGTAACTCTTGCATGTTCCATCCCTTCAGAGAGCTTCGTGTTTCTCGGTAAGCATCAGAGAGAACCGGGAAGTGACACTTTTTTTTAAGAGCAGAGCTGCTTGCTTCAGACACTGAATATGCCTTAAGACTTAGTGTGGTTTCAAACTAGGTTTTGAGCTGAGGGGAAGTGCTTTCCTGTGCCTTGTGGCAAGAAGTGCTCTTGTGCAAGAGGCAACACAAGTTAGCTCCTGCCTGAAGACCCTGCTCACCTCTTGGGCACAGAGGGTCAGGTGCTGCGTGGCTCCTGCTGTTGCTGGCTGGTGGTCAGTGCAACCTGGCTTTGCTTTGTTCAGGGCCATGTTGTGTCTCATGGCAACAAGATGCAGATAGAGCCTGTTGAACCTTGCTGGGAGACTTGCAAACATGCTGGGACAGCTCATCGTTCACATGGTTACCACATTATTTGGCTAACGCTATTAATCTCCTGTGGTCAGACTAGCTTTACAGGCCTATCTGTACAGATTGCATGCGACGAGGAAATGTCTGTTCAGCAGTTTGCATGTCCAAGAAAGGCCATGCAGAAGCCAACTGCTAATAGCCAGTGGGTGATAGTTGTTTTAAATAGGTTTGTATGGCACAGTAAGTAGTTATTGCTGTCTGCGTGCCTAATATCATCACAGCCTGCTGCTCTGATCAAGTTGTGCTGAAAGTGTTGTGGGACAGTAAGCTCCAAATTCAAGTATGATGTTCTCTAAGGAGCTATTTATATTTTTTTCTTCATGTCCAGTGTTTTGAGGTGAATAACGTAAACATTCAGATAGTGCCTTTCACCTAAGGGGGACGTGATCCTAAAGCAGGAAAATGGGGAACCTTACTCAGTTGCTTCTTTATCACTCAACTGCCTTGGATACTCACTTGCTGCATTTCACCGCAGACTGAATGTATAACATTATGATAAACTGTTTGTAGTTTTGCTCTCTTAAGTCTTACCAAGTATTTATAGCCAAACAGCGAGCTATGTACACAGTATATACGAACTTCAGCAGGTTAAAATACTTCCAAGCACTCTGTTTTCTTCATGTGTGTGAGGAGTGGCCCTGGAGAAGTTCCAGCCTGCAGCCAAGTGTTTGAGAGAACAATGCCAAGTGCTGCTTTTCAGCATGAGAATACCCCAGCTGTGATATTTTAAGATGCTCTTGAGGAAGGGGAAACGCTTGGTGCAGAACTCAGCAGGTCTTCCCTATGCACATGCACCTGTCTAATCATGCATGTGCTGCTTTGCAAAATAAGCAGCCTCCTAACTGATTACATGAGGATTTGTTTAAAACAACTGTGTGGTTCCTGACCCATCAGATCCCCCTCTTTGGCTGGGAATTCCTCCCCCCTCTTGGCAGACGAGTTGTCCCTGCGTGCCGTGGGAATCGTGGCCTCTGTTCAAACACATGCACCTGGCATGTCCCAACTCACATGAAACAGCAGCTTTTCTGTCTGTCTGAAATCTGATGCTGATGTGTTGTCCTTTTGCCCCCACCTACGTCTGCCTTTGCTCTAAGTAAACCGTAAGCCCCACTGTCCAATTGCAGTCCAGCTTCATCACAGGATTAGGACTCTCCAGTGTCATTATGTTGGTGTGAGTTGTATGAAATCGGTCCTGAGAGCTGGAAGACAAAGGTGTGTGCGTGGCTCCAGCCATGGAGAGGCAGATGGAGCTCAGTGGTGTATGTTCTGCCTGTAGGCAGCTGGCTCATAATGGTTCTTGCACACAGAGTAAGGAATAGGTGTTCCCCACCAGGACTGTCAGTGAGTGCGTGGAGGGACCTGGGAAGGAAAGGCAAGGACAGAAAGAAATGTGCAGGAGATTGGTTTTGCTCTGCTCTTGTTTGCAGTGTGCTCCTGTGATTCTGTGAGAACATTCTTACCCACCTTTAAAGCGCTACAGAGCACAGCGTAAGCACGGCAGTTGTTTGAGGACTTATGCTCACAGCGTGACCTATTGAATAGCTAAATTAGGAAGTTCTCTTTCTGATCTGCCCAGCTGCCACGGTGTGAGATAACTCATGTGTTACTGATAGCACCGGAGATGAGAAAACATCTGAAATTCACCGTGCCGTGTGACTTGGTGTGGTGTTTCTTGAATAGACACAGCTGAGTGGTTCTGAACTTCTAATTCCCTGCTAGAAGGAATGCAAGACAAGGACTCCAACTAAAAGCATGTGAAGAGATTTTTGGAAGTGTGTTTGCTTTCTGCTTTATGCCAGAACATTTCAGTGAATTGATTTTTGCCCCACTTTATAGCACCATTTGCATATGAAATAAAACTAATTGGCTTCGAACAGGGAAGTTCCAAGTGTCACGTTGAGCCCTCGCAGGCATCAGCAGTCGTTTATATCCCTTTTCTTGTTTCATGTCAATAAACAGATTGCAGTTTTGGAAACAGCTGTCACCTGGCTTCAGGTTGAGGTCAGTCTGTTCCGTGTGTACTTACATTAATAAAACAGTCCTTTCTGCAAGAAAGATTTATAGCTGTTGAAACAGATTGCCCAGAGGAGTTGCTTACAGGTAATCCAGCAGTCACAGTGCTGCAGCATTGTCTGCCTGCCACTGCGTTGGGCTGAGGGACAGAAAGAGGCTGTTAGAATTATTTGCTTAGCGAGAGCAGCGATCATGGAGTTCCTTCCTGGTTGGTCCAAGGCTTTGTTGAACCCAGTAGGAATTTGAGCAGTAATGACAAAGCGTGCTCCTTGTAGTGAAATGCACAAAGAAGTGCAGCTGGGGGTGCTTGTGCAGCATGGGATGTGAAATGTCTGCATGGGGCGTTTGGGGGCTGAGATGTGTGGGCTTGATGGTCACTAGTGAGCGTGAGGCTTGGCTTTGTATGGGCACTTCATGGACAGCATTGAGGAAATGGATGCAGCTTTGTTATTTGTCATAATCTCGGAGGTATTTCTCAGTAGCTA